CTCCTTTGCCATTTCTGTTATCTAAATGTGTTCTGTTGTACATAGGGTTTTCAGAGGCCTGCTATTTCAGAAGTGTTGACATTGTGTACAACAGAACACAATGTCTCACATAGTAGGAGAGGTTATTCCTTGGACATCATACTTGGGAAAGTGGAGGGAGATTAAAGGAAAGAAAGACTCTCAACCCTCAGGTGGGTTGACACAATTATTTTAACAATGAGTTTGAATGTGCCAGAGATTGGAGGAAGCCACAAGACATGAAGAGAATGTCACAGCATAGGACAGGTTTCAGATTAGTTGTTCATAGTGTCACTATAAGTTATACTCAACTCGATGGAACCTAACAACAACAGACAACAATAAGGAGTGAGTGGGGAAACATAAAGAAAACATTCAACTAATATTCAAACTAAAGTCTTTAGATTTCATTTGTGGAACTCTAAATCACTGTACATAAATATTAATGATCTCAGTTTTTTTCTGATAGCCAAAGAGGTGAATCATATTATACTTACTTCCAAGTTCCAGGTCAAAAAAATATAACAATAATAAAAACATTGTATCAGATTATAAATAAACTTTATATTTCTCAAGTGTAAACAAACCCTTATCTACTTAAGCATGGTTTATTTGATTCAGGTCTGATTTATTTCAAACTTTCTGCTTTTAATATTTTTTTTTACTTTTCATTTCATACTGGTTTATTTACAAAGTTTGAATATATTGTTTTTCACACCAGATCTTTCCCACTTCCTTCACCTTCTACCCTCTCCCCATTCTTAATTTTTAATTTATGCTGTTTCTAATAAAGATTAGGAAGTTTCAAATATCCCTTTTACATGTAAAATGGTAGGATTCAGGAACACAGGAATAGGTGGAAAGAAAAGAATGCCAATGGTAGGTCTTGTTGTCATTGTTAGGTGGCATTGAGTTGAATACAAGTCATTGTGACCCTGTGAACAAAAGATCCGAACTCTGTTCTATTCTGCACCATCCTTATACTTCTGACACACAAGAACCCATTGCAGCAGTCACCGTGTCAATCCACCTGGTTGAGAGTTTTCCTTTCCTTCACAGACCCTACACCCTTGCCAATATCATGTAACTCTCCAAGGAACAGCATCTCCTAGCAACATGCCCAGAGTATGTGAGATGAAACCTTATCACTCTTGTCTTCAAAGAGCACTCTGACTGCATCCTTTCCAAGACATAACTGTTTGTTCTCTTAGCTTTCCATGGGATGTTCAATGCTCTTCTCCAAAACCACAGATGGTGGGTCTTACGAATTCTTATTTTTTTTTAATACAATTTTTGTTTTATACTGGTTTTCTTACAAAGTTCATATACATTGTTTTCACACCAGATCTTTCCCATTTTCTTTACCCATCCCTCCCTCCACCCATCACATTGTGCAACCCAATGATTAACCTTCACCTGTCTTTATCTCTCTATCTCTCCTCCCCTCCTTGGATCCTCATTCACCTTCTGCAATAATGGTCTTATACAGTATTTGTCTTTATGGGACTGAGTTAGTTCATTTGACATAATGTTCTTCTGTCTCTTCCAAGTTAGATAGTAATTTACAAAATTCTTGCTCCTGTGCTGTATAGTATTTCACTGTGTGAATGCACCATAATTTCTTTTATTTCTAGTGAGAACAATGACTTCAGTTCCTAACTCTTCATCTCACCTCCCTCCTTCAGCCTTTGGCAGGAATCTGAAGGCAAAGAGTGCTAACTTCAGTTTGTTTCTTTTGAAATGGCAGGTGAAGATTGGCCACTGTTACGGGTGACATGGGACCTAAAAGAAATGCAAGTCTTCATCTCTTACCTTTTTTTCTGACTGGTATACCAGGACTGGAAGCTCAACACGGCTGGCTCTCTATCCCCTTCTTTGTCATGTACATCATAGCCATTGTGGGCAACAGCCTAATCATGGCAGCAGTGCAGGCAAACCATGCCCTACATGAACCCATGTATCTGTTCCTTTCCATGTTGGCCATTACTGAGGTAGGTGTCTCAGTATCTACACTGCCCACCGTCATGGGCATCCTTTGGTTTGATGCCCGACAGGTTGACTTTGATGGCTGCTTGGCCCAGATGTTCTTCATTCATACCTTCTCCTGCATGGAGTCAGGGGTCCTGCTGGCCATGAGTTATGACCGGTTTGTAGCCATCTACAGCCCTTTGCGATATACAGCTATACTGACCCTGCCTCGGATTATTTCTATGGGATTAGGCATTACACTGAAAAGTGTGGCACTCATGGCCCCCCTTCCAGTTCTTTTGAGGCACTTGCCATATTGCCACACTAATGTCCTCTCTCACTCCTACTGCCTGCACTCAGACCTGATTCAGCTGCCTTGTACTGATACTAAACTCAATAGCATCCTGGGGTTAGCCATTGTCCTGGCCACTTTTGGACTGGACTCACTGCTCATTGTGGTCTCCTATGTGCTAATTCTTTACACAGTATTGGGCATTGCCTCTGGGGAAGGAAGGCGAAAAGCCCTCAACACGTGTGTGTCACATATATGTGCAGTACTTGTGTACTACGTGCCCATGATTGGTGTATCTGTGATGCATCGTGTTGCCAAACATGCCTCACCCATGGCCCATACACTCATGTCTAGTGTCTACCTCTTTGTGCCTCCTGTACTAAACCCCATCATCTACAGTGTTAAGACCCAACCAATCAGAAAGGGAATAGTTGCCTTGTTCTCTCACAAGAGGGAATGACCCTGAATCATCCCAAGGAAAAGAGACTTTCAGTTAATCCAAAAATCTGATGGTGCTTCTCTTTGGGCATAACTCTACACTAGACTTTCTCAGAAGAGAGAGAGAGATGAAGAATTCAGTGTTGCCTGAGGCTTAAATATGTATCACAAGGGTTCTCTTTTCAGGTCAAGTTTTATCATCATATGTAGATCTTTGTATGCACCGTTATGCGTGTTTTTCCTCCTTAGCCAGATAAGATAACCTTGAGGGCAGAAATCAGGAATATTCCTTTTCCTTATTCCCCTAAAACTTCTAGCAAAAATCCTGACCAATAAAATTAGTAGTAAAGGCTTAAGACTTAATTATACTTGAATTTAAATAAACACATTTTTATTTTTATGCTGCAGATTGGGGTTAAGAATAATCCTCTTTTAAAAAAAAGAATAATACCCTAATAAAGATTATGCTGGCATATGCATAATGTCAGCGTACCTGCTGCTGGCTCCACATAATCATTGTTTACATTCATTTCCCTCAACATCATTATGAAGAGTGCCCCTTTCTTATTTTTAGAAATGTCCTTATTTAGCAATAAATTATTTGCTAGACTTACAAAACAATATCTTGTTCTAAACTTAGAGATTCCCAAATTTATGTACTGAAAGGTTCTGAGGAAGAGAAACAACTGACTTAAATGGTCCTCATTCAGACATAAAATATGAGCACACTAAAAAAAAAATCCCAGGGTTCCAATTCATAGTTTGTAAGAGATGATTATTCTTATTCAGAATGAGATTCCTGACTTTGACGACCATTTTCTTCTCTAACTCAATTAGATATTGTACTTCTTTCCAAAAGTTCTGAGATAATGCATTTTTTCTTCTGTTAGACACTATTTGATTAATTTCCTATCATAAATACTGCAAAAATATGGATTAAAAATAAAATATATTTACATTTGATTTAAAAAATGTATTAGAAATAAAGAATTGCTTCCAAAGTGTGTGCTGCTTTGAATTATTTTTATACTTATTACACAACAGAAAGATTAGGTGGCCTATTGGGTAGGGAGTTGCACTAACTACCCAAAAACAGGAGCTTGGAATCCACCAGCTGCTCTATAGTTGAAAAATGGGCAAATTCCTCTAGGGTTATTTACAATCTCTGGGAAAAAAAGCTGTCAGGTCAGCTATGAGTGGATTTGGACCTGACAGCTATGCAGGAGAGAGTGCAATTGATAAAAATCAGAATAATATATTGTACATAAAAAGTAAAATTTCATTGGAAAGATACCTTTTTGTTTCTGATTACTTAGTATAAACAAAGTTCATATACGTTGTTTTTCACACTGGATCTTTCCTATTTCCTTAACCCACCCTACTCCCTGCACCCAGAAAATTGTGTGATCCTATGATCCTATCCTCACCCCTCTGCTCCCACCCTCCCCCTTAGATCCTCATATACATTTTGCTAGTTATCTATTTCTACAAGGACAAATACTATATAAAATCATTACTGGGAAGATATCTTTTAATGAGATAGAAGAGGCAGTTTTTTGATCTGAAAATGAAGGGTGTTTGTTTGTTTTACTAAAAGAATGAGGCAGTGTTTGGTATCATATCTTTTTATTCCTATCTTCTCTTTTGTGTGAAGCTCTGGTGGCTGGGTAGTAAGAAGTTGCACTACCAACCCACAGGCATATGATTTAAATTCATCAGTTCCTCCATGAGAGGAAGGCAGTATCCTTCTGTGTTATTTATAGTTTCTGAAACTGGTTAGCTGTGAGTGGTTTCAGGTTTGTTGTTACATAACAATAAAAACTTCCTGTAAATGTAGGTACTGAGGAATTTACATAAAATTCCTGTAAACGTAGGTACTGAGGAATTTACATAAATAAGTAGGAAGGTGAAACTGAAATAGTTTTTTCATAGCCTGGTACCAGTCTTTTTCATTCTTTTTGGAAGTAAATGACAAGATAAACAAAACATAAAGTACATTATGATATATTTAAAAGGCTGCATATCTTTTTATTAAGTTTTAAAAATTTGTTCATTATTGCACATTCTCTAAAAGGCTGCATATCTCTAATAGTTTGAATCCACTAGCAGCTCCACAGGAGAAAGAAAAGCAGATTCCTCTCATTAAAATTTAAATACTTCAAATTCTGATGGAGGGTTACTATGAGTTACTTTAAGGCAGTAAGTTTGTTTAGCATTCTGTTTTTTTAAAAAATAAATCTTTAAATAAATCTTTTAGCTCAAAAAGGAACTAATAGCCATTTACTTTATAGTCTCAATTTCTAGCCATCATTATTCTCTATGGCAGAAATTTGGAGGCGTATTCCTTGCAAACAGGAACTAGACAAGGGCACTCTTCAGTACACTTATATTCAGTATTGTATTGGAAGTCCTGGTCAGAGCAATAAGACAAGATGAAAAAAGAAACAGAATTGAAATTTTCAAAGAGGAAATAGAATGTTTTCTATTTGTAGAGAGTATGAACCTATATACAGACTCAGGTTCCTATACTGGAAATTTCTCCCTCTGCATACACAGAGGGAGAAAGCTTTCCTCTAAAGCTAGAGTCCTGGATTTTTACTTCAAATCTCCATAATAGATTGAGAAGAGATTGAAGTTATTAATAATTTCAGCTTACTCTTCTCCACAATCAACACTCTTAGCACCAGCAGTCAGGAAATCAAAAGACTAATTTCACTGGAAAAATCGTCTGTCAGAGACCTCTCCAGAGTATTGAGAAGCAACGATGTCAGCCTAGAGACTAAGGTACACCTCATCCAGACCATCATCTTCCCAATTACTTGCTATGTATCAGAAAGCTGGACAATGACTAAGGATGATAGAAGAATTGATAGCAGAGTTGTGATGCCATAGAAATATTGAACCAGCAAGAAATCAAATAAGTCTGTCTTGGAGAGGGTAAGACCAAATTTCTCCTTGGAGATTAGGATTTTGAAGCTCTGTTTCACATACTTTGGGCATGTGGCCAGGAGGGACTAGTCCTTGGAGAAGGACATCATGCTCAGAAGAGTGGAGGGAGAGCACAGGATTAATACAATAACTTGGGCAATTGGGGTAGGTGTGTCATGGTCAGTGAGACTGGCTCAGGACAGGGCAGGTGTCAGAGCTGTAGTACATAGGGTCACTATGAATCTCAGACAAATTAACAGCACGTAACAACAACATTGAAACGGTACTTATGCTTTTAACTTTGTTTAAAAATTTTATTTTATTCATCTTTTTAGTGTTTTTATCAATAAAGGGTATTGGATTTTGCCAAATGCCATTTTTGTATCAGTTGTTATATTAATGAGATTCTTTTCCTTTACTTTGTGTTCTGGACTTAATATGAAATCATCATTGCATAACCAATATTAATTCCTCTTGATTATTATGCATGATTGTTTTTAAATGATGTTGCATTCTATTTGCTAGGATGTTTTGGAGAATTTTTACATCCATGTTTATGAGAGATAACTCACTCATTGACTTTGAGTCAAAACAAGTCATAATAGACATTCATGTAGATCTTCAGTGGCTGTAAACCACGTGGGAAGAGATTTCCCATCTTTTTCCTATAGAAAAAGTTGCAGTGCAACTCGCTACAGACTAGTTCATCAGTAGTTGTCAGGTGCTGTTGAGTCGGGTACGGCTCATAGATACTCTGTGAGCAACAGATCTGAACCCTGCCTCATCCTGTGATATCCTCATCATCTCTGATTTGAGCTTATTGCTATAGTCACTATGTCAGTCTATCTTTTCAACAGTCTTCTTCTCTTTTGCTGACTTTGAATTTTCAAGCATGATGTCCTTCTTCAAGAAATAGCCTGTCCTAACAACATGCCCAAAATATGTGAGAAAAAGTTTTGTCATTTTTGCGTCCAAGGAGCACTCTGGCTGCACTTAGGCAACATCATAATAGATGGATGGAGAAAGATTGAAGTTGTCAATGATTTAATCTTTCTTGGATCCTCATTTAACACTTGGTACAAGTAGTCAAGATATCAGGAGACATTGCATTGGGCAAGTCAAGGACCTCTCCAAATTACTGAGGAGTAATGATATCAGTTTGAAGACTAAGGTGTACCTGATTCAGGCCATGGCCTTTTCAATAATTTTCTATGCATCTGAAATCCGGACAATGAATAAGGATTACAGAGGAAGAAGAGTTGACGACTTTCAGCGTGATGTCGGAGACACTTGCTGAATATCCCATGAAAAGTCCAGGGGAGCTCCCCTTTATGAGGGATATGGTTCTAGAGTTTTCTTTTTTAGTGCTGTCTTTGCCTGGTATTGGTATCAGGATTACACTTGATTCATAGAATTACTTTGAGGATATTCCATATATTTTTTCCTATATTTTGAAATACTTTGATAGAATTGGTGTCTCTGTATATTTTGTAAAATTCCCTGGTGAAGCCATTAGGATATTTTTGATTTATGATTTCCTTTTTAGTCTTAAAGGTTTATTCAACTTGTATTCTCTTGTATATTTTTATGTTTGGGAAGGTTTCTGGATGATACATGTTAATTTCAGGTTTTTTGTTTACTATTGTTGATTATCTTTCTGAAGAACACGCTAGTGTTTCTTATGTCTCTTACAAGTTTGGTTAAGTTTTTAAATATCCTCTTAAATTATCTTTTGCTAAAAATATACTAATTTCATCATATGTTAGAGTCCAATTTGGTGGATATGTAAAATCTTCATTGGCAATTTTTATCTTTCAGAGTTTTATATATGGCATCGTATTGCCTCCTTGCTTGCATAGAATAGGGCAAGGGCAGATCTGTGGCTCACAGCGCTGCTATGAATGATAGTGGATTTGATGATACCTACTCACTTCTCACTGTTTTAAAGCAGAACCATTTCACCAAAAGAGTTGGAAGATCCTCAGACAGATAGATTGACAGTGACTACAGCAATGGGCTCGAGTGTATCTGAAATGATGAGGATGGCACAGGATAGCACAGGGTTCAAATCTGTTGTTCATAGGGTCTCTATGAATAGTACTTGAGTTGAGGGTACCTAGCAACACCACCACCACCACCACCACATTAGTATGTTATTTGTTGTTGTCAAATCAGCTCCAACTTATGGTAACTTTATGCATAACAATGAAACATTGCCTGTTCTTGTACCATTTTCATGATCATTGATATGGTTGGACCCATTGTTGCTGCTCTTAATTCCATCTATCTCCTTGTTTTCTTTGGTTTTATGTATATGCAATTATGCATTACGTATCCTCTTAGGTGTAGGCATATTTTTCCTCTCCAAGAATTCCTTATGTATTTATCTTTGTCAAAAAATTTTTTTCCCCTTAGGTTAAAGTAGAGTAATGGTGCAAGTTTTTCACATATCTTCAAAAGAAAGAAAACAAAACCCAAGTGTTCCCTCTTTACTTACACACAGTGAAGGTAGTACAGTCCATTTATAAGAATACTCATACTCAAAATTCACTACTTAGAGACAGTTTAACTCATAGTGACTCCCCATCACCTTTTAAAAATTGGCTTTAATACAGTAATTTATATCATTTCATTCATTTGCATTGTGTTTCATAAAATTTCTCATATTGAACATCTTTCATACAATCTCTCATATACATTTTATCCCATATATTACCATTGATCTATGCATATAATTCCACCACCTTAAAAGTCCCCAATGAATGTTTCCCATTCCCTCCCCCTCCCCCACTCAGCCACTAAACTCTATTATCCTAGTGATTTCCCCCTTTTCCCTTCCCCTTTTGAGCATTTATACACATGTTACTCTTGTGGGCTAGTGGCTAGAAGCTATGCTGCAATGCTGAAGGCACGTGATTTGAGTTCACCAGCTGTTCCTCAGGAGAAGAATGAGCAATCTCTTCCCATGCAATTAACTGCTTCTGAAAACCTACTGGAAGGTCATCTATGGGTTGGCTCCCAATCAATGGTATGATATACACCACCACTAACAACTACTAATTATCCTTCTATTCTTTATAGTAATGGTCTTATGCAATATTTTTCTGCATAATGTTCTATAGACTTTCCCATGTTATATAGTATTTTATGCAATTGTTGTTCCTTAGTGCTGCATAGTATTCCATTGTGTGATTTTTACCATAGAGAGCTCTGGTGGCCTAGTGGCAAGAAACTGCACTGCAATCCTAAAGGCACACGGTTCAAATCCACTAGCTACTCTGAAGGAGAAGGATGTTCAGTCTTCTCCTGTGCAATTAACTACCTCTAAAACCCACTGGAGGGCTATCTTTGGTTGGTTCCAAGTTGATAGTAGTCAACCACCACCACCACCACCACCATGTATGGTATGTTCTATGGATGTTTTTTCTCAGATCCATCTGTAGCAATTTTTAAATCTGTAATTACTATAGGGGTAGGGGGAGGAACTGCCTATGTTTCTTCCACAAAGCTGCCAGTGGATTTAAACTGCCTGAGACTCTAAGCCTTTTGGTTAGCAGCACAATACACTAGCGACTATGCCATCAGAGGTAGCTAGACATTTGAAGAGGGGATGGAGGGGTCATAGATCATCGGAATTTATTGCCTTTTGAAGCAAAGGGATCTGTTATAAATGGGAGGAAATATATGTAAAAGTTTAAAAAACAAACCAGATTATGCATGGTTTTAAGAACAAAAGGATAATTATTTCTATAAGATGATTGCTCTAACCTTTTCAGTAGTCGCATGAATGAATTAGAAGTGGATATTTAAATCCAGAATCAGTAGCAGAATGGGAAGGAAAAAAGAAAACTTATAAATCTCCTTTGGTTTGATCAGAACTTTATGAGCTGACTTGAATAAAAAGAAACCTCATGCGGCCCAATTTTCTTTTTAATATGTAGAATTTCCATATCTATGTAAGATATAAATGAAAAAAAGATCATTAGGAAAATCTGTGTGTGTGTATGTGTGTGCACACGGCAAGGAGTCGGGGAGGGGGAGGTGGAAATTATTGCTTATATTAAGCCCTAACTAGGTAAAGTGTATCTGAAAATAGTAAATAATAAAATTTAAGGGATATTTCTTCGGCTCTAAGGTCCTCCCTCTGTGGTTCTTTCTGGAACAGGTGTTTTAAAATTTTTTTTCCTAATGTATGAGTGTCAAATATTTTTATTTTTCCTCTTTTTATTATTCAATTGATTCATACTTACTTTCCTCCCTTCCCCTCCCTCCCAATTCCCCTTATAAGACCACCACTAATTGTCATACATATGGTTTCTAATTGTCCATTGCTTTCAGAATATCCTTCTTTTCACTAATTCCAGTGCAATATAAAGCAATTTATTATCTATTCATTCTTTTCCATGCTCTTCACCTCAGTCTAAATCCCATCTTTATAATAATGGGTTTATGCAGTTGTTGTTAAAATATTTTTAAATAAAGAAGTCCACAAAATCTACCTGCACCAAAATAAGATTAAAACTAAAATTTAAAATCTCTCAAATTAAAAAGATCTCATTCTAAGTTGTTTCTAAAGACTAAGACCGAAAAATCTGCAGTAGAAGAAATAAAAGTAGATCTTATGTTATATATTTAAAATAAGCTATGTTAATAAATGCTCTTATAAATATTATTAAAGATTTTCAATATCTTATAAATAAATGAAAAAAAGTTATGGTCAGTCTTCAAACACACATCATCTTCCTAGTAATGGTGACAGTTTATTGAAAAAATGTATAACTTAAAAACAATTGCACCTTTGTTTTTCTCTGATATTATCTCAGTCTAGAAGATAATGTTAGGATAGCATTTTCTTTTATGGACATGTTGTTGTTGTGTGCTATCGAGTCGCTTGTGACTCATAGCGACCCTGTGTACAACAGCCCTAAACTCTGTTCTGTCCTGTGCCAATTGCACTGTTTCTGATACTCCCATTCCGATTACCCCAGTCACTGAATCAATCCACCTCATAGAGGGCCTTACCCTCCTGCGCTGTCCCTCCACCCTCCCAAGCATGATGTCCTTCTCCAAGGACCGATCTCTCCTTACAACATGTCCGAAGTAGCTTAGATGGAGCCTCAGAGTCCTTGACTCCAAGGAGCCACCCAGTTTAACCCTTTCCAGGATGAATCTATTTGTTTTCCTAGCAGTCCATGGTACCCTCAATACTCTTCTCCAGCACTACAGCTCAAAGGCATCCATTCTCCTTCTATCCTCCTTGGTCATTGTCCAACTCTCTGATGCATAACAAGTGATTGCAAAGACCATGGCCTGTATCAGATGCACCTTAGTCTCCAGAGAGACACCATTGCTCTTCAGTCCTTTGGAGAGGTCCCTAACAGCAGACTTTCCCATGGCAACGTGCCTTTTAATTTCCTGGCTACTGGTGCCAAGAGTGTTGACTGTGGACATAGTTGTCTTATTTTCTTATTGAAAATATAATAATTTGAAGTATCACTATATTTTACTCTTGTTCCATTTGTTACATAAGTCACAATCATTTTCATAAATAAATGAGTTCATATGAATGCCTGACTGACCATAGGTTAAGAATCATTTAGGGAATTTTCCTTGAAATAATAGAGTGAAATTTCAAAACTTGAAACTGTTGGAAAATTAATTGAAAAATATTCTGCTTATTATGCAATTTTTACATTTTTCTGATAATTTTCTTAATATTTTAAAAAATGTTAATTTTCATATAATCATTCAACTTTACTCTTTAATTAAGCTCATAATATTTGTTTTTTAGTAGTGTTAAAATTCATTCTCTCACATTTAATGTCTGTTTCTGTGGGAAAGGAAACGGATAATTCCCTGGCGAATTTGCTTGGTTTTAACGCTGTAAATGATAGGGTTCATCACAGGAGGTGCTAAAAGATAGATATTGGCCATGATAACATGAACCAATGGAGACGTATGCTTAGCAAAGCGGTGAGTCATTGATACGCCAACCATGGGGATATAGAGGACCAGAACAGCAAGGATGTGAGACAGACAATTATTGAAGGCACGGAGTCTCTCAACCATAGAGGTAACACTCAGTACACTTTTTAGAATCATTGCATAAGATAGCACAATGAGCACTGGGTCCAACACAATAATGAGCAACACCAGAGCAAAACCATACCAGCTATTGAGTCGGATGTCAGCACAAACCAGGCGAATCATATCCTGGTGGAGACAATAGGAATGAGAGAGAAGGTGGGAACGGCAGAAGGGTAGGCGTTTGAGTAGGAAAAGGGAGGGAAGAACAGCCAGAATACATCGGCAGAGGATAGCTAGCCCAATTTTGCCAATTGTTTCATTGGTGAGGACAGATGCATAATGGAGAGGGCGACAGATGGCCATATAGCGGTCATAGGACATGGCCAGCAGGACAGATGATTCCATGAAAGAAAATGTATGAATGAAAAATATCTGTGCAAAACAGGCTTCAAAGCTTATTTCCTGGACATTGAACCAGAGGAGCTGCATGACTGTGGGCAGGGTGGTGAGGGTAAGACCCAGGTCAGTCAAAGCTAACATGGAGAGAAATAGGTACATGGGTTGGTGGAGGGATGGCTCTGCATGAATGACACCCAGGATGGTAATGTTGCCCATGATAGAGATGGTATAGAAACAGCAGAAGGGAATGGAGATCCAGACGTGAGAGGCCTCAAATCCGGGGAAGCCAGTGAGAATAAAGAAGATAGGGTCTTGGGTGGTATTAGTAATTTGGAACATGGTAGACAAATGAGATTCCAGATTCAGGATCTAGAAAGAGAGCCGAAGATGTTAGAAAGAACTCTTCTAAATCTGTTACTGTATCTTTAACTTATTTGATTAAATACTATCCAAATAAAGATACAGACCTTTGGAAGATAATTAAGGATGGATTTAAGAACACTGTTAAATTGTATTTAAACAACCAGTTAAGATAAAGTTTTCTCCCCCATCAGAACTCAACGTAGATTGATTAAGGAAACTTTGTGTTCGTCTACTTATTCTAATTCAATTATTAGCAATCAGAAATCTGTTTTTCAATCAAATAACACTGCTAATACTGTTTTTAAAAGATTCTAGTGTCCTAAATAGAAGTCATGGCTAATATTGAATATACATTAGTTGTTTATATCCAACATCTCTTTCTAAACTATCATTTGACTTCTTTAACACTATTTTCACCTGTCTCATTTGTCCCAATTACTTGTAGTCTTTCACCATCATCTTTCTCTTTTGCCATAATAAAAAAAGTCATTGTTCATAAGGTTTTCACAGAACAATTATTTCAGAAATGATTCTACTCTTTTCACCTTCCAGCAACACTGTCATCTCTCTCTTCCCCTCACCCCTTTTTGTCTTCAGAGAAACCTCACCTGTGGTTGCTGTTGTCTGGTGCCCTCCTTACTAACTGTTACCTTTTTTCTCTTCTGGTCACAGGGGCAGATGTCTTATAACCTCTTGCAGATCTCTATGCTGAAGCCCAAGGAGGCATGGCAGGTCCCTTTAGGATGATGTGAAATGATGTTCTGAGACCTGGAGTCTCACTGGTGAGCTCTGTAAATAAAAATCTTTGTTAAATTCCAAATGGATTAAGCAGATAAAAGTAAATTAGTAGCATAGTATTTAAGATAGAAAGAAATATAAGCTTTTAAATATCTTACTGGAATATGTATAAATTTGTTATGTTGTTATCGTGTAACAGCAAGTCAGAACTAGCCTATAGCTGATCCTCCAGTGGGTTTTCAGAGGCTATTAATCACAAGGGAAGAAAAAAAAACACACCATAGAGGTAAAGACAAGTGAAAATGAACAAGAAAAACAAAATGTTTCATTATATTTTTAGAAAATTTATGAAACATGAAAGAAACCTTAAAAATATTTATCAAAATATTATGTATACTGGTGCCATCTAGTTATATCCTGCTTATGGTGATCTCACACATGCCAGAGTAGAAATAAGCTTTGTAGGCTTTCACTGATTGCTCTGTCAGAAGTGGATCCACAGGCCTTTCTTCTAAAGTGTGTTTGGGGAGACTCAAATTTCTAATCTTCTGTTATCAGCCAAATATTTGTACCACCACAGATATGCCGTAAGGCTCAAACCAAACCTGTTGCTGTTGAATTGATTCCCACTCATGGGGACCCAATAGGAGGGAGTAGAACATGTCCCATTGGGTTTCCAAGGCTGTACTATTCACGGAAGCAGATGGTCACATCTTTCTCCCATGTGTTATCTGGGACCTCAAACCACCAACTTTCTCAGTTTAAAGCCAAGCACCATAACCTCCTTGCCACCACGGATCCTTAAAATCACGTAATAGAAAGCATTAAAAATTTAAATAACAATTAAATGGGTTAGTATTTACTGATGTTAAAAGCATGACAGATTAACAGAAAATATGATGAAATTAATAAGAAAATTAAATACAATTATAAATAAGCATACAACAATGCTAATTTTTATCTAAGACTAATAATGAAAAATTAAATTACATAACCTTTCCCCCCCAGTCTTTCTAAACGGCAGAGCATGTTTTGTTCATGCTATACAGCTGAACACATAGTATTGTAGAATGAGGTATACTCTACTAATGGAAGTGCAACTCTTAAGTTCATTACAAAAAATAATATGAGTGTATATGTCAATTTAATTTATATGCTTTGGTTCAGTAATTCACTTATGATATTAAATGCTAAAGCAAGAATTAAACAAAAATAAAGTTTTATATTATATATTCTTATACAATAATCAATACTTATTTTTGATAATTAGTTTGTGAAAAGTACATGCAATCAAAATTAAATCTTTTCAACAGCTTCTATTGGCACAATTCAGTGATATTGCTTATATTCTTCAATTTGTACTTAATTATCATTATTTTCTGCATTATTTCACCATTTTTACCTTCATGTGACTTCCCTTTAAGCTTTTTATCCTGCCATTTGAATTGCCATTGTTGATTTTATTTCACATAATTTTTTAAAAATTATCTATTATTGAATATTAAAAATATTTTAAAATAGAATATTAAAAATATGTATTATTGAATATTAAAAACACAAGGTTCATTAATTAAAATATCTATTTTGGTTCAAAGAAGATATTCAGAGTTTTGGCTTAATGTTTAAATAATACCTTACAGAGTTCTTGTTTCTTCCCAGCTTTCGCCATGGCCCGAGGTCCCAATAAACATTTAAAGAGAGTTACAGGGCCTAAGCATTGTATGCTTGACAAGCTATTGGGAGTTTTTGAACTTCGCCCATCAGCGGGTCCCCAACAGCTCAGAGAATGTCTTCCTCTTATAATATTCCTCCGGGATAGGCTCAAATAGCCACTGACTGGAGTTGAGGTGAAGAAAATATGCATGCAGCGCTTCATCAGAGTGGACGCCGAGATCCGTACAGATATCACATATCCTGCTGGATTCATGGATGTTATCAGCATTTTGAAGATAAGTGGGCATTTCTGCCTCATCCATGACACCAAGGGTCATTTTGCTATTCACCGTGTTACAGAAGAGGAGGCGAAGTACAAGCTGTGCAAAGTGAGGAAGATATTTGTGGGTACCAAGGGAATCCCACACTTGGTGACTCATGATGCTCGAACAGTTCGTTACCCAGATCCGCTCATCAAGGTGAATGACACAGTAGTGATTAAGAACAGGCAAGATAACCGACTTCATCCAACTTGACAAAATTCAAACCTCGAGTTGCTATAATCAATGATGCTTTCGGCAGAATGTTAAATGATCCAGGAAGTATTAAAAGAAGATTGAAGGAATATACTGAGTCACTGTATCGAAAGGAATTGGAAGACACAGAAGAATTTCATGAAACAACATATGAGCAAGAGCCTA